CAACAATACTATTAAACTCTTCTATACATATCCCAACAAACTTCCCTTCATTTAGTTCCTTAAAACATTGACAATCTCCAAAGAACATTCCAATCCAAGAATCATACTACTTTTTTTAACCTGTTTTTAAATCCATCAATGTTTCTAGTCTCTTATTTACTTCTTTGACAAATCAAATATACTAGTAAATATCAATACAAATTCATATCTTAACATATCATTCAAAAACCCATTTTCTTAAATCTTACATATTTCATCCATCTTTTAGTTTTAATCTTATTTAACCCTTCCTTAAGCCTCTATAATATTCAATGATTCAAAACCCAACAAAAAACGAAAGGAAAAGTTAGTAAATAAAACCTTACCTTTGGCTATGGGGGAGAGCCTTTACACGGGGAAGAAGAAAAAGAGATAACTTAGTGTTTTTCACTTCCCCCTTTTTCCTATACTTTTATTACTCTAATAAAAATGAATTTTAAATTCATTTCCCCTTAAAGGACCAAAATGCCCTCTTTATCCATCCATTGTTACAGATTAGTCTAAAATACTATTCCAAATTAATTTTCTCATCTTTTATCATTTATTCATATAAATCCTCAAATTTTAAATCTTTTCAATAAAGTCTCTGACCTGATATTTGGGGTATTACAGAAATCTACTTGGAAGAAAGGTTTGATGGTTGAAGAACTTGAAAAACTGCAAGATTGAGCCTCCTTGAATTTATGCAATTTGAAAAAGATATTTTTACCTTCATTTTTCTCAATTATGGCGCACTTGCTGGTTCATCTCCCTCACGAAGCTAAAGTTGGTGGACCAGTTTTCAATCGATGGATGTATCATATAGAGATGTGATAATTGACTTATATGCATGCAATTGTTATTGAATATATATATTAATTACAAATCTATATATAATGTTGTGTTTCTTGTCTAGATTTTTGTGCAAGTTAAAGTCTTACTGTCGTAATAAGCGATATCCAGAAGAATCAATTGCTGAAGGGAATTTGCAGAAGAGTGTGTGACTTTTTACTCTAGATATTTGGAAGATGCTGAAACAAGGTTGAATAGACCAAATAGCGATGAAGTGTCGAATATGAATAACTTAGTTGAGACTTATTTGTTTGGAAGTTATGGTGAACCAATCGGTAAAGTTGAAATTGCACAGCTAGATGATAAATATTGGGTACAAGCAAACTGATATGCTCTTTTACATCACGATTCAATAGATCCCTTACACAAGTAAGTTTTACAATAAATGTCATAATGTATTCACTTAATCTTTTATATTTCTCATTCTTTAACCATTCAGTCTACTTTATAGTAAGTTTAAAGAAGTCTTGAGATCTTGTTCACGCTCCCGAATATTAAATCAACATAAGGATTCATAAGTTATTCACATAAATTTTTTATTAATAGTTAGGGCAGACGATAAGCAACTAATCCTTACACCACAAGTAAATAATGCATAAATTTTCTTGTTTTAATATATTGATACAGAAGCTAACTAATTCACTTTTCATGCGTAATAGGTTTGGAGTGGGAGGGAAGCTAGTGAAGTGGTTAAATTGCTTTCTCAAGGTTTGAATAGAATTGTTAAAAGATATAATGTCTTCCTCATTAATGGGTTCAAGTTCCACACGAAATATTGTAAAAGATTACGAAGGACACAAAATTGTGGAGTAGTTGTTACTTCTTCAACTACAAGGTATGCTAGTGCTAGAGACAATCATCATGTGGAAGGATATGTAGAATATTATGGAATCCTTACAGATATTATTGAGTTTGATTATTATGACAAACAAAAGGTTGTATTATTTCGGTGTGATTGGGTTGATGTAAATACTATTCGAGGCATTAAAAGAGATCAATTAGGTTTACAATGGTGAACTTCTCTTAATTAATTCACACTGGCCTACAATTGGTGGATGAGTCATGTATATTTTCTTCTCAAGTCAAACAAGTTTTTAATGCTATCCAATGGATGTGAGTTGATATGTTGTACTCTGTAATACTCTCAGAGACTTAATAGACATCAAAGATGGATATATATATATATATTGAATAATCATTGGTCTTTCTTAGTAAGTGACAATGTGTACAACCCTATAAATACGAATTAATTAAATTCAAAACTTTAAGAGAAAATTGTATTCTTTTTTTCACCACTAAGATCACTTTATGAATGAATAATAGATTCAAGTAAAATATATTAAAACTCTGCCATAAACAAAATATCGATCCAAAGAGTTTCCACTATATGATAGAGGCCTAAAGACATTTCCACCGGTCACCTCAAACATAAAATAATAATAAAAAAACATTTATCTCAATGAACTTTTGAATTGTATTTTATTGTCATATTCGAAACCTAATAAAATAATCCACCACTATGACGACTTTGTATTAATTTCTAATTCTATCATCAATCCCTAGATAGCTAATCAACTAAACAATTCCGCACTGTGATATCATCTATTTAAATTAATGTCATAGACTTTAAGTCTATCATATAATAATTAATGGACATCTTTTGTACTGATGAGTTTTTGTAGTTAAAATGATTGTTATTTTTTAGGGTTTAGGTTTAAATAATTACGATTGCGGTGGTTAAAGAGATAATTATTATCTCTAAAGATTTTGAATTCGAACATGTCGTTTATAGAAGTGTTTGAGAGTTTATTGTCAAATTACCGAGAGTCTTTTGAACAAATAATACCTTATAATCATCTCATATTAATTAATAAACAATATTTTATAGTTTATATTTTCAAATATATTTGATCGTATAATATATTACTAATTTCATTATATTATTTTGAAGGTTTACTAATTTCATTATTCTTAAAAGTGAACGTGACTATAAACCTGTTATATAGTTAATACATAGAAAAAAATCACGTCATCCGTAATTATCAATCAACATTTTGATAAATAATGCGTCGAATTTTATGGTTAATAACTATATGGTATATAAATTGTCAATTTCGTCTTTGTATTCTAATGTAATTAATTATAATTTTATATTTTTAAAAGTTTAAAACTTCAATTTTAACTTAAAATTATCAGATTGAATTAAATTATACAACTTAAAATTATCAAATTGAATAACATGAATTAAATCTACAAATAATGTTAATATAGAGACTAAGGATAGATTTTAATTTAATAGATTGTACAATTACTTATTACTTTAAGATCATAGTTTTAAAATTAAAAAATAAAAACTAAAATAATTAAATTAAATTATATAAATTAAATTTATAATTTAAATAATACTAATATTAGCCATAGATTTTTGTATTAATTTATTGTAGTTAGACGTGGTAGTGTATATTCTAAAAACTCACAACTATTTAACAATAAATATTGAAATATCTTGTAATCACTAATACTTAAACTCGAAAGCTCTAAAAATAACTATCATCCATTGATTAACTCGTACTAAAATTTAACTTAAAAGAACAACATTATTGATTGTAGTTTCCTAAGCCATGAGTAAACTAATACATAAATAATAAATCCTCCCACCCCACCTCACATCCCCAACCCCTTTATTTTAAAATAATATAGTGATCATTTGCATTATTGTTCCAACAACGCCATTTCCATTTAAAACCATTTTTTAGGAAACTGACATCAAAGCTCAACAATAATGCAATAAATCATACTTTCATAATATTCCATCACATACAGGGAAGCATAATTTGTGTCAGGGGTACCAACATAAAAAAATTATTTCAAAATCTTAAGGATGATAGATTATAAAATCCTGAGGATGCAAAACTAAATAATTCATATAAAATACAAAGAAAATATCTAAAGTATAAGGGAATTTTAAATTTCTATGGGTGCAACAACATCCTAGCACACCCTCGTTCATAGGGGTGACAACGAGGCGGGGTGGGGACGGTTTTGCATTACCCATTCCGTCCCCAACACTTGCGGATACGATTTTGGAGAATCCCTATTATATGTTTCGGGGATTTTTTTATCCCCATATCTATCCCTTACGGATCCTTGTGGGTTTTGATTAATCCCCATCCCAAAAAGTAAACAAATATTTTTGAAATTAATGCAACACCTAAAACTTGTAAGATTTATTAGATTGTCTCAAATTGGTCTCTATCTATAATATGAAAGTTTCAAACATCAATATTCATCTAATACCCGATGTATATGTACAATCTTAACCATTTTTAATATCAACAAATTAATGTATATTAAATGAGAAAAGATCTAAACTTTAATTTTAGTTCCTTTGAGATGTAACAGTGACAACATCTAATCTCACATATATTTTTCGGGGATCCCATAGTTATTTTTGTAAAATTTCGAGGATCCTACAGTTATTCACACGGGTACAGTTCGGTTATCCCCATGGTTCGAATATAGCAATCCTCTCCCCCATCCCCATTTGAGCTTCGGAGATAAAACTTCCCCCATCCCCATCCCCATCCCCGTCCCCGTGGATGAAGATTTCGGTTATTCCCCATCATTGTCGGTTCGAATCCCCACGGTATTCGATTTTTCCCCACCCAATTGCCACCCCTACTCGTCCATCCCTGGTCACATATATACTTATCCTCGAGATTTTTTAAAAAATAAAATTTATTGAATCCATCAAATAGCTTAAGTGATAAAAAAAATTTTATTTTTACTAAAAGTTCTTAATTTAAATAATTGTATTTACAGAGTTTATACACATTATTAATTAATTAAGAAAATTCTAAAAAATACTAAATTATTGTAATATTATAAAAAACAAAAACCATTGTCCATTTCCTCATAAATTACTAGTTAATATAGTCGTCTGGAGCTTGCACTTCATATAAATTATGATAAGGCGGTTGGTCGGTTGCCAATCATGGGGTGCCAGTTAAGCCGGGTAGGCCCATAGTCGGTGCCGGTGAAGGTTCTTTTTTCTTAACCTGCTGTGTATTCAGTTTAATATAAATAGCTAGTTTCTCTCCCAAAGAAAGGTGTAGATAGGCACAAATACAAGTTTGTCGAGTCATCTTCTCATTGGCCAAAAATGGTTAAGATAGCTTTCGGTAGCATCGGTGATTCTTTTAGTGTTGGGTCTCTCAAGGCTTATTTGGCCGAGTTCATTGCCACCTTGCTTTTTGTCTTTGCCGGTGTTGGATCGGCCATTGCCTATGGTAAGTGTCCCCAACCACTATCCATTCAACTGAGAGGATCGTTCCTACAATATTTTTTACAGTATTCGATCCAGGCTTACTGATTATAATAAATTGGAATATGATGAATATATTAATCATATTACAATTAGGAGTGTAAACGAATCGAGTTTAAACAAATAAGATTATGTTCACGTTTGTTTGTTTATTCCTTTTCAATTCGTATTCGTTTAAATTTTTAATATCATGTTCGTGTTTATTTATTTATTTTTGAAAGTGTTTGTATCGGTTTATTTATTATCCACGAACATGCTTATTTAATGTTCGTAAATATGTTTGTTTAGTATTCACGAACATGTTGGTTCAAAATTAGTGAAATTGAGCTACCAGTCATTTTGCTTCTTAGGCTTCACAGTTTAAACCTCAAAGTTGACCTTATGTTCAGTTCAGTCTTTATCTTCACCAATATTTAAAATATAAAAGAATAATAAAAGAAAAAGACTAACCGAGTAAACGACCTTGCTCGTGAACATAAACAAACCAATCACACTTTTGTTTGTGTTCATTTATTTATTAGTCGAACAATTTTTTTTGTTTATATTCGTTTATTTAACTTAATAAATGAACATAAACGAATATTATACAAACTTTTCACTAACATTTCAACGAATGTCTGTTCATTTACACCAATAATTACGATCGTTACTATTATGAATATATGATCATAATTAATTATGGTGAATGTTAATGTTCGACTTTATTTTTTTATAGGGAAGCTGACGGCTGATGCAGCACTAGACCCAACAGGTCTGGTGGCTGTTGCGGTGGCCCATGCATTTGCCCTGTTTGTTGGGGTAGCAATTGCAGCCAACATCTCCGGTGGCCATTTGAATCCTGCCGTCACCTTTGGGTTGGCCGTTGGAGGAAACATTACCATCTTAACTGCCCTTTTCTATTGGATTGCCCAATGCCTTGGCTCCATCGTTGCTTGCCTCCTCCTCCAGTTTGTCACCAACGGATTGGTAAGGGATAATTATATCCATTTTCGACATGTCAACTCTTTTACTAAAATCCGAATATTTGACCCCGTCAACTCGAATTTAAATCTAACTTATTTTCATTTAATCATAAAATGTATGTAACTGAAGTTTCTTTATCCAAATTAAAAATTGATCTAAAATCAAAATAACATGAAATTTAAGAAGATTACAACTTGAAATATCTATTCACGGATGATCTCAATAAAAAATTAGTCTGTGACAAATATAATGTAATATTTATTCAAAAGACTCTTAATAATTTGATAATAAATGTTTATATATTCTTACAAACGCAAGCGTTGTGTTTAAATTCAGGACCTTAAATGATTACAATAATCTCTTAACTATTGAGATCAATTGGTTTTATTTACGTACTGTTATTAATCTTTCAATGGAATTGAATGTTATGCAGAGCGTACCAACCCATGGCGTTGCTGCAGGAATGAACGCCGTGGAAGGCGTTGTAATGGAGATCGTGATAACCTTTGCCCTTGTCTACACCGTCTATGCCACCGCAGCTGACCCCAAAAAGGGTTCTCTTGGGATTATCGCACCCATCGCAATTGGTTTCATCGTGGGTGCCAACATCTTAGCCGCCGGTCCATTTAGCGGTGGTTCAATGAACCCAGCCCGTTCTTTTGGACCTGCGGTGGTCAGTGGGAACTTCGCTGATAACTGGATCTATTGGGTTGGTCCATTGATTGGGGGAGGATTAGCTGGTCTGATTTATGGTGACATTTTCATTGGCTCATATTCCCCAGCACCAGCTTCTGAAGACTACGCTTAAAGTTCAAAACTATTGTTTATGGTTTTTGTTTGGTCGTAAATGCTTTGATTTCAATTTCTTAAGGTTGTGGGTGTTTTTCATGAATGGAAACAAAAAGCGTGCACTTGTTAATAAGGAAATGTAAATATACCTAGTTGGCTTATGGATATTTCCCTTTAATCCAATTCTCTTTCTCTATTTTTTTAATATTATGAATTGATTATAAGATATAATATTTGTTCATAATCTTTTTTAATTATTGATAATTCACAATTCATGTAAATAACTGTTTGAACACATGACCTCTAAGGAGAATAACTCTCCCTTAAATTATCAAGTTCATTCAATAAGTTCGTTTAATTTAATTTATCTTTTAAAAGAATAATTTCGTATAATTTGAGTAATTTTAGGTTAACCATTTCAGTTTTATGTTCCAATTAAATTAAATGAAACATAAATATAATAATGTAATAATCCAAAGCCGGCTGAAGGCATGCGCGTCCAAATGGAGGATAAAGTTACATCTTTATATAAATGATATGGGAATTGATTCCTTTAGATAATGTGTGAAATGATTGAGTTAGATCTGCTTCAGAGTGGAGTTGAACTGAAAGTTGGTTTGTTTTTAGTAGTGTTTATGGGTATGATCGACGTACAATTTTATGTTAAAAGTGAATTTATAAATTTTTAAAAGATAGTAAACTTATAAAAATTTTAGAGGACGACCAAAACATATCATTAATGAAAAATATATAAAAAAATTAAAATATAAAATTTTAAAAATTTCAAGAGGTGTCATTTGTTTTCTCGATCCATCCCGCTGTGTGGACAAATAAATTTTTAAAAAGGGTTAAACTGAAAGTTGATTTGTTTTCACTGGTGTGTGGAGGCAGATAATTTTCGAAAAAGGGTTACCGCGAGTGGATCTATGCTTTTCAAAAGGCAAGCAAGTGGTGGAACATGACATAACTTTTTGCACTCGTTACATTTTTAAGCCTTATCATTTCATTCATTTTATATTTCGAATGTACTTAAAAATAAATAAAAGTTGTTATATTTACAGTATTATTATTTGGTTTTAACCAAATTAATAAAAATAAATTTTAATTTGATTAATGAATCAAATAATTAAATAATAAATTAACTAATGATTATCTTTTTTTAAAATTTGATTAATTTAATTCTGAATTGATTAATTAATTTTTAATCTTGAGATAAAAATCTCACCATTGAATTCATCACTTTTCATTTTGAGTCATCACATCATCGTCGATCATTGTCAGTTTTTATAAGCAGTCCTTGCCACCGCTGTCATGAACGGCCGTTGTAATTGGTACCTCCTGGCTACTTGGAGCAATGGAATTAGTAACTATTTCAGAAGACATTCTCTCCAACGGTAATCCAACAACACCATTCATGCCATTGCTTCTTACTGCCATCTTGATTTTCTACATTTGGCACATCATCATAATCGTGAATCTGCAAGTAGAACAACTTAAAACCAATCGACAATAGATAAAGGGCACCAACTAAATACAAAACCATAGGAAACACAAGACTCGATTGATGTTAGATAACATCACTTCACAAATAATAAATTGAGTTGGGCAATTGAAACTACTATCAAGTGCAGCCTGAATTTTCAAGTCATCCAGATTGAAATTCCAGGCATTGATTGCTCTCGTATGAATAGATATAATTATTCATATGAATAGATATAATTATTCATATGCATAGATATAATTATTCATATGAATAGATATAATTATTCATGAGTAAACGTAGTTATTCATATGAAAAGATGTAATTATTCACAAACTCTGCATAAAGAATTATAAATGGTTTCCATAAGATTGTTTTAATAAATTATCTCCATCTGATAAGATTTCTATTCCTCTTTTATATCTCTCCAACAAAATAGTAATCAGAGCTTTGTTCTATAGTAGAAGAAGATAACCAACATGTTTTTATTTCAATGTCTTACAAAATAAAACTACGAAAATTGGTATCTTCGCATTCATAAGATGTTTTGGAGGTCACTCAATAAGATTATGAGTTTCTTCAAGGCCAGACATCATTGTCATAACGAGAAAATATTACTTTGACTAAAACAAGGAATAAAGATCAACAAGTCTTTGCCCTCATTCGTCAATGTTTGGATGAACCAATGTATAAAAAAGTGACAATTGCTAACACCACAAAGGAAGTTTGAAATATTTAGCAAAATTCTCTCGAATGAGTTGAAAAAGTGAAAAGGTTCGACTCCAAGTATTGCGAGGTAAGTTTGAAATGTTACAGATAAAGAAATCCAAGTCAATTTTAAATTATTACTCAAGGGTGGTGGTTGTTGTCAACTAAATGAAAAGATATGAAGAAATTTCAGAAGATGTTTTGTGTGGTTGAAAATATTCTTCGTTCTTTGACTCTAAATTTGATTATGTGGTTTGTAACATTGAGTTAAAAGATTTAGACTCTTTGATTATTGAACAAATTTTTTTGGCTCAACAATGTTTGAATTTTATTGAAGAAAAAGAGTCATACAAGATCACCTTATGCCTCATTAAAAAAAACCCCCTTCCAATTAGAAGGAAAAAAACACATAATGGTGATCAAGGTTACATAATAAACGTCTAAAAATTTTTAACACCCTAGAATGTAACACCCCAAATCCCGTGTTAGGAGCTTTAGACTAACCCGAGAGGGTCTTGGATAAACCTCATAGCTTGTAGAAAGCCTTGACCCAAGTTTGAGTGGTTTTGGGCTTGGATCGAACCCAATAGTTGGTAAAAAGGTATTGTTAAGTTGTGATTAAAGTTTGGAGGACCAATGAAGCAATTTACCCCAAAACTCTCCCAAAGGTTGAATCCTTTTAATTAAGGAAAATGTCAACATGGGAAATTTTCATATCTTATTTTTCCCTAACCTTTGTCTTCTTCCTTACCATTTTAAACTTCCTTGTTCCCTGGCATGTCAAGAAAGGTGGAAACTTTAGTCCATTCCAAACATTTCCCAACAACATCAAGGTACGAACCTTAATCTTCTCATTATACGCTTCTGTTCAAGCCCACATTTTCAATTTTTGGTCATGATATCCAAGATGTAGGTTTTAGTAGGGGTTTAGAAACCCATAGTAAATCAATTCATTTTTTAAGAAACCAAGCCTTAGGAAGTGTTTTTAACTCATTTCTAGGCTCCCATACACGTTAGCAATCCATGTGTTTGATTCTTGCATAATGAGAGAAGTTGGAGAAAGCTCCAAGGATAAGGGGAAGGAAAAGCTCACTCTTGGTTCAACTTTGGGTGTTTCCAGCAACTTAGAATCCAAGGTAACACACTTCTAACTCAACTCTACTACATGTAGATCATTAGATGTGCTTTGGTAGGATACATGAGTTATAAAGCATGTCCATGATAGATTGCATCTTTTGATGTTTTCAGCTTGTTAATAGACCTATTATGACCTCTTATATCATACATAAAACTTTAATAAGGTTTGGAACCTCAGTAGGATTCATGGGTTAGTTAGAGTGTCATTTTCGTATTAAAAATAGGGCATTTCTATGCACAAGTATCGGTACTAGAAGAACATTATCGACACTAGTCGTCGGATGGGTTAAAACAAGGGAGTTTTAGGCTAGAATTATCGATACTCATTCACTGGGTATCGATACTAGAGGTTGGGTATCGATACTCTTAGTAGGAGTATCTATACCGAATTCACTTAGCATATTCCAGTAGCCAATTTTGCTATCGATACTTATAGGAGTATCGATACTCCAAGTAGGGTATCGATACTGAGGCATTTTTCAAAACATCAAAACTTAATTTGGTATTGATACTCAGGACATTATCAATACCCTAGTATAGAAGTATTAATACTTGGTTCAGAAGTATCGATACTACCATTCCTTCTCAATTCGTAATAATCATTTAGTATCGATACCATGGGGTCGGTATTGATACTCAAAGGATAGTACCGATACTGGGGGTTAGTATCGATACCCATGAACAGTTTTGGATAAGAAATCCATTTGGTTAAGGGTTAGATTTGAGGGTCCAACAATATCATATCGCCATGGAATAAAACTACAACTGAGAATAGTAATTAAATGTAGTACAACTAGAAACAATAACATCTAAAATACCATAAAACTAGCCTTGTTTGATGCTCAAAAAACAACCAGGACACCCGAGTTTCTTTAGCAGAATATGATCGTCTTAGTTGGATATATCTCATCCAGTGAAAGGCACTTTAGATGCCAAATGGGCATATATGTCCCAAGACTCAACGGGGTAAGTTGACCGGCTATAAATTTTTGATGCAGTTCTAGATATTTTAGAAGGGCTAGAGGGGTGAGTGCTTTGAGATGTAGAACCCTCATCCACACCATGATGCATACTTCAACATTTCATAACAACATTTTATCATGTCTTAATACCTATGCTATTAGAATGCTCATTTAGTGAATGCATGTAGTACAATATAGTTATCAGTGTGGTACTAAGCTCGTAAGTTCAACATTCGAAATGTGTTTCCATGCGTAAGGTCCTAGGAGACTCGTTGCCATCAATTCTAGATCAGCCAAGGCATCAGAGTACGTCTTGAGTTATTCTTAGAGGGCTTGTACTATTACCCTTTTGTATTCAAACGTATCTTTATTTTGTTAAACTCAGTAATGTTATTATTTTGGATATTTTGGGAGCTCCTCCATATTTTTAAACTTGATTATTACGTTTTTATTTTATATCTTTATGGATGGGTTTAAAATTATGCTTTACAATCTTTTAAAAGAACTTTTTGGATTAACCACATCGGTGGTCCCGTATGACGCATTAATCCTTAGATCTTTGAGTAGGGTTAGATTAGAGTGTTATATTTAGTAATATTAGAGTGTCAGGGTTAGTAATTCCTAGGATATATGGGTTAGAGTTAGTCAGCGTATATGTATGTACATGCCTCTAAAGAGTCAACAATACTTTAAAGATTGGAATCACGATAATAACCTCTATTTTTTCTCAATTTTAGGAAAACATATAAGGAGGATAGTAGAGATGAGAGTCATGCATCCCTAGCAACATATATCGGTGATAAGTTCATCTTGAATTCTAAGTAGTATGAGGTTCCAACAAATACGGGGGTTAACGAGGAAACCTTCTTTAGGGACTTAACCTCACCCCTTAGGTAGATTATTA